AATAACGATTGACTTACTTCTGGCCAATCCTTCTCTTCTCTTCCTAGACAGCGTGGCTCCGTGATGATGTCTTCTACGTACTAACAATCTCACTAAACGACTTGTAGTCTTCCTTAATCCCCAAATAATCCACATAACGACACTTAAGTAGGTTAATCTATCTGAGCTGCTTTGAAATGAGCTTGTATGAGAGAGCCTACAATGTGTCATATGTTTATATAACGTCCCTTTACGACTTTGAGTCCGATATACGTACATGCCCCGTTATCTATTCGAATGACAAAAAAAGGATTCCATTCACCAATTTAGAACTACCGGTAAGGCAGCATTAATTCAATTTTTTGGTTTTCGGATTTGTGGAAGACGAATCTGGAGATCTCAGGTTTTTACAAGTCATGACTTCTTAGGAAGCGTTGAAAATCTCTCAAGAAACTGCTCATATTTTCATTTGCTTATTACTGTTGCAACGTAACTCGTTTGCAATCTCCTTTTGCAATCCTCTTTTTAAAGATGCAAAAGAAACAAGCTGTGAAGGAGATCATGTAACGAAAAACACCCGTAATGTGCACTATTAGATTGAAAGATAAACGACTTTCCCACCAAATAACAGACTGATCCCAAGAATATTCATAAAAGACCAAATGACACTCAAACAAGTCTGTGAAATACATAACATATACAAACGTATACATACGATAAAGTCACGTGAAGTTGGTTTCAATCATGATGACTAAGAAGTTGATTTGTACAGCGTTCTAAGGATCAATTGTTGGAGACTCTCCAGCAAGCTTAAGTTTTCCAATCGCCCTCCTTGGGCATCTCTATTTGCATCTTCATGTTTTATTTTTGCATCTCTGTGTTTTTTCCTGAGTTGACATCACGGGGTGACATCAGCTCAGGAAAAATACAGAACTGCAGATTAAAAAGGTAGAGATGCAAATCATCTGCTAGGACGACAGCTAGTGCTGACAGAAACACAGACAAACTTACTGGAAAACCTGAAAACAATACCTCCAGTTTTCATGGAGGTAAATACTGGTAGATGTTACAGAGTGTAAGCCTAACTGGTAGATGTTGATTCAAAACTGGGCAGATCAGAAAATCACAAAGCTTCATGGAGTAAACAAAGTCAAAAGAAATATCCTTCCCTCGATTTTCATGATGTCTAACGAATTTAATAGAAGTGTCCTACCTTTTTAGGCAGGTACCAATTAACTTCTATTGACCAAACTGGATTACCATTGATCTCTGTTGATATGTAACTTTTATTAGATCATTTTTTGCTACCTTACTGCTATTTTCCTCCAGCCGGGTTAATTGCGACATGTTGGCAGGTGGTAAATACAGTAAGATCGCCAATTGTTAATTCAACTGTAGGGGTAACTTTGTCTTGCTTCCTAGAAGTGTCAGATAAATGAGAATAACACAATATATATATATATATATATATATATATATATATATATATATATATATATATATATATATATATATATAGTAGTAGTATATATATATATATATATATATATATATATATATATATATATATGGCATATGTTCAATTGGCATACTCATTTCCGTAATTGCTGGACAAATATTCAGTGTATATTTGATGCATCAAGTACAAAATTGATCCAGTCTACAAATTTACATCTTAAGTATCAAATGTAATGATATGTAAGGGGGTGCCACATAAAAAAATATTGTACTTAACATATCACATGCACAGTCATATACAATGCAAGACTTGAGCTGATGAAAACACAACATTATTACACATGTACTCATTGATATAAAACATCTCAATCATGTTTAAGAAAATAGTGGCTGCTATAATATTCCCAAGAGAAGCACCACATAATATTATGTACATTACTAGACACAATATCAAAAAGTTATTACTTTGTTACATCGATAGGTTGACTCCACATCATATATACACGTGTAGTCATTTCCATACCCTTTTTCTAACTTCCTTGACATGTCATTTCTTGATACGTCCTTTCTTGATATGTCCTTTCTTGATATGTTTTCATACATCCTTTAAAACACCATAGAGAAGACCAAAACCGAAATCTTTGAAGATAATATTTACAAGACTATCTCTGTGACGGCCTTCTTGAATTCCCCGTGTTTCTCCCAGACTGAGACTGCCCTCCTCCCGTAGCCTGCCTGGAGTTCCCACCATCTCCGCTGGGCTGTTTTGAGCCTGCAGTTTTGGGCTGGGTGGGCTGTCGAGATGATGCCTTGCTGATTGGCTGTGTACTGACCTTTGACCCTGCGGTGGGAAGACGCGACATCTGTCTGGTGGGGGCTGGGGAGACGGAAGCTGACCGCGGGAACTGGAACAAAGATGGAAAACCTTTCAGAGCAGACACAAGTTGGCTCTTGCTGTTGTGATGATTGAAAATAAATAAAAGAAAAATGGCACCTAGTTTGCAATGTTTCTATTTGCAGTTCACATTCCATAATTGAAAAGCCTGTCATTTTGTCTTCTTAGTTCCATTCACTAAAAAAAGACTGGTATTTTTTCTAACTATTTATTTAAGACACGGAAGCTGTGGGCTTTATTCATTTAAAACATGAAGCGGCCACTTAGGTCTGAATGAACCATGTTGTGAGAGGTAACAGGAGGAGTATTAATGCAACACTGTACACAAAGACTAGGCCTTACAATAACACATACCATAGTCATGGCTGAAAATGATGACGCAAGCATACAGATCAAGAGGTCACGTACGTAATTCTTAGCTCTTGAACTGAAACCTGCCATTGACAACTAACTATCTTAGTGGCGTTACATCACCGACAGAGTAAACAAGGTACACAAAGAGGTGCCCGTTCAGTAATACATGCTGCGTAGTTACAAGGTTTGGGTTCCGGACCGCCTGTCACAGATAATATCAGACAGATTTGACATGTCTTAATATCTTACAGCAGACGCGGAATCTTGCGGCTTGAGACTCTGTTGGAACTTCTAGAACTCTAACTAGTAGAAAACTGCTTCTTGGTAAGTTTCTCTTTTTTATTTGGATTGTCATTGTTTTTAGCTACATATACCTTATCGAAAGCTGTGCTTATGTAGTTCTATGCCTGAATGTGTTGGGGTGGGTTAAAATCAGACAAGCTTCTGGTTATGTGAAACAAATGAACAAGGCGACATGTCTAATTTCTACAGATTCTGTATGACAAGCAAGATCTAACTTATTACATATCACATAATATGACCCATATTTTTCCCACAGGCAAAATGACAGACAAGATAAGGAGGTTCTTGGTTCTGCTGCTGTTCATCCTGAAGGATTCTGGTCCAGCCGCAGCTTGCAGCAGCAGCAGCTGTTCATCATCATCCTGTATCTGTGTCAACGAAGGCCTCAGCAGTGTTCCTCAGGACCTGCCTACAAACACTACTTACCTGGAGCTGGATAACAATGTCATCACAACACTAAGTGAGACCAACTCTAGGTACAGCAGCCTGAAAACATTACGACTTAATCACAACCAGATCTCTGTAATCAACAGCGGAGCGTTTTACAGCTTAACCAGGTTAACTGAACTGCGTCTTAGCGGTAACCAGTTAACCAGTCTCCGACAGGACATATTTGTGGGACTTGAGAATCTGCAGGTCCTTAGCCTGGGTTACAACAACATCCACAATATCGAGGCAGGAACATTCAATTCCACCCCACAGCTCGGCTATCTTACACTTTACAATAACCAGTTAACCATTCTTCGGGCTGGCATGTTTGTTGGACTTGACAATCTGCAGTACCTTTCCCTGGATCATAATGACATCAGCAGCATCGAGGCAGAAACCTTTAGTAACACACGGCAGCTCCGTGAGCTCTGGCTTACATTTAACAGCATCAGCACCATCGCTCCTGGAACATTCGCAAATTTGCCACTCCATTCCATTTCTATCTTTCTCTCTTCGAACGGCATCAACACTTTCCCCGTGGAGGCCTTATCGAATCTTAATATTTCAACCCTGAAGATGGATCACAACCAGATGGAAACACTCCCATCCACAGCATATGACATCCTGGCCTCTTCCACAATTGTGGACATCAGCAACAACCCCTGGCAGTGTGACTGCAGGATGCTGCCCTTTAAGCAAAAGATGACAGGTTTCCTGGATTTTGAAAAACAGATCCGATGTGCCGGACCTGAAAATGTTGAAGGAAAAAGCCTACTGTTAGCTGTAGAACCTGAAGATCTGAACTGTGAAGAAACTAACACGGATAATACTAGTACCCCTCCCAGTGGGTTATCAGCTGACAGTCTCCCTCCCGCTTCTTTCTCCCTCTCCGCCTTCCTCGGCGGTGTTGTAGGCGGGATTGTTGGAGGTCTTCTCGTGTCAGCCGCTTTCTTTCCGATCTGGTGCATAAAGAGAAGAGGCATGCGCAAAACGGGCCCTGTACCGGACTCCAGTGATGTTTACAGCAAGCCAAACGGTGCCGCTACCGAACTGACCAGCGGGCGGCATCACACAGGGCAGGGCGCCTCACCGTCACGGGCAGCAGAGTCTGATGACGGAGAGAGTCAACCAGGAACATCAGGGACGGTCCCGCCTCCGCGCAGCTTTGATAAGAGTTACGCTCCACTCCCGCCTATTAAGACAACGGGACCACTAGGTGATGTCTGGAACGTGCCAGAAGCTGCACATGGTACCGGTGATGCTACTGCAAACATGTCCGTCCCTCTCAGCAGGCATTTCATCTATCAGCAAACTTGCCCATCTGGTCTGCCCAAAGGTCTGGCTGGTTTGTAGACAACAAGATGAGGAAATCACAAGAAACCAACTGGACTAAAATATAATCACAATCCCTTTACTACACGGAATGATAACTTGACAACTGCTTTTTAGCAGACATTGAAATTGAATCGAGATACTAGGAACTCAGAACAAAATTGTCAAATATCTAAGCAATATATCTAGCTGAAACTAGAATATGACTTCATGCAGAATGGAATATTCCATTATTGTATTGTCATTGTTGTGATGTTTGCATGAGACTTTAGACTCCACTTGTAACTGACAACTGCTTTTTAGCACTGACATTGAAACCTAATTGAGATAGAACCTCAGAACAAAATTGTCAAAATCCAAGCTACAAGTGAGACTAGAATAGGACTATTGAATTGCAGAATTGGATCTTCCATGATTGCATTTTCATTGTTGTGATGTTTGCGTGAGACTTAAGAATTCACGATGTGGGATGATGTTTATTTAGCCAGTCTTCTTTGTTCAGTGTGTAAGATATTTTTGCAGCAGTGATGTTAACCTTTAACTAACTTACACAGGTCACAAGGTATAAAATTCTCATTATTGACCATTAAGAAATCACAGAATTTTCACATTAATTATGCAAATTAGGTGATTATTTGCATAATTGGTATCTGTTGATGTTCCACTTGATGTAGTTTACACAAACACACAGACACGCCAAAAACAATACCTCCATTTTTCATGGAGGTAACTAGTAACATTTGCAAGCAAATGCAAGATGTTAACCTTCACACGGTCTCGCCTCTCATTCCAATGGGTGAGGACAATTCTGCATTTCCTCATATTGGGGACTTTTATAAAGGTACATGTAGTACTACAGAAGAAGGAGTAGAAACTGAGCAAAAAAAATATGTTTCCTTCTGCCAAGGTAACATAAAAACAACATGGTACCTGCACTCCCAGAACCATCTCCTGTAGGGTTCTCTTGTCTTCCTTCTTGTATGCGACGATCTCGTCAGGATGGTACTTCCCGTCCTGCTGCTGAATGGCGCGATCCATCATCTCGTACAGCAGATGTCTCACGTACAGCTCGGCGTCCACGTACGTCCGCCCTGACAGCGCCCAGCGCTGGTGCCGCATGGTCTGCTCCTGCCGCCACCGCTGCGGCTGGTACACATCAGACCTACATAGCGGCAGGGTGGTTATAAGGTTGACTTGACTTTATTCGGATTCACATTTAGCATACAAAACTAAAGCTATTCTTCCTGTGGTCCATCCTACACACATACGACACACAGGGGAAATACAAAACATAAATTCATTGACAAGTGTAGCAAAGAACGGGTGTTACAATGTGGGGTTCCACAAGGAAGTTTAGTTGTTTGGGACCACAATTGTTCAGCATATACGTCAATGACAGGTTGTTGATTTAGAACCTAAAGATTCTGAGTCGGAATCTCTAGCTGGTTGCTATGCTATGCAATTGAAAACACATTTTTCATCAACTTTCTAATTCGACTCAGTGTAAAGCCAGAGGTCCTGTGTTTGAGGACACCTTGAGAATGTTGAAGAAGGATCGGTATAATATAGCCATGCCTGCAAAGCTGTTATGCTTTACCAAAGGGCGGTTATACCGGCTGTACATATACAGATACAGGGGACTGACCAGTGCTTGTAGGCCTCCCACATGTCCTGTCTGTTGCTGCTGGTGTTTTTGTCCTGAAGCTTCAGGACGGAGACAAAGTTCTGTTTCTTCATGTAGGACAGGATCATGAACCTCCCATGGACGTCAGCAACCTGCAGAAGCACAAAACATAGTCAGGATAGCACGTTGGCAGAACGTACCGCGCCTGCGCAAAACCACGGTTTCACGGTTTTCGTTGGATATCTGGTCAACGTTGCATCATAATTTTGCCTGTTGCAGAAGACATCTTTTCCGACATAAGGCCACACCGATTTAATTTTATGGATGACATCCGCGCGCGCATTGATTTTCGCCCGATCTCAAAAAAAAAAAAAAAGATCACGTATTCCGAGGCTCTGGCCTGGCTTTAGGCCTGGGTAGTGCATGGTGGTGATAACTCTGGTTGACGGCAGCCAGGCTACCGAAGCTCCAAGACTCAAGAACTCAGTACATACGTACAGCAGTGTCGATTCATATATTCGCAAAAATCCAGCATGTGTCGGCCTGTCGTATACGTCGCTATGTAATGCGCCAAATTCACAATACCAGGTTTGTATTCCTGTGGTTTTGTAGCATTTTTATTTTTGGCCGGATTTTTATTTTTTTCGCCCGCGCGCACTAGTTTGGGGGTCTTCAGAGGATGTCATCCATAAAATTAAATCGGTGTGGCCTAACATTTGGAAACTACAGACGGAGTGTCAACCTTATATGTGCAAATAGGTGCAGGTAACATTGAAAATTACCTGTACCAGACAAATGTACCACTCAGAATTTGAGAAGTATGGATCATACTACATGTATGTTATAGAAGATGACAAGAGGTCAGGTACAAAATGGACCATTTAGTTTGATAACTCCAGTGCAGCTCCTACCCTAAGGTCTGTTCCAGCTAGCCAGTTGATTTCTTTAGGATTGAGTCTGCAGCCTGTGAAGTCTTGGCGGGTCCCTAAGACGTAGCTGCCTGTGTTCACAGAGTAACCAACCACAGTGCCAGCTATGGCTGCTATAATGTACTCTGAACCTGTCACATCATGCGGGCGAGTAACCTACGAGGAAATATAATGACTGTAAGTTCAAATATTTTTTTTTCATTTTGATATTAGGGTAAAGGGGATTCTATGTTAAGTTCACAATTGAAACAGTGTTGTAGTACAGTAGTGAAACATTCAGTTTCATGATTTTGCAGTTGAGAGGTCACTATAAAAATAAAACCACTGCGAACATTTCAACGTTTACGGGTAGGTGGAAAACAAAGTCCAGTCCAATTTGGCGGTGGAAAAAGCAGTCCGGCCATTTCTGCAAATAGTAGCGCCCCCTTGCAAAATATGAGAAAAGTGCAAGCAGTCTGATGTGTTACCACATGTCATGGCATATACATTATACCTACTCAATCATAGTATTACCGGTAAAAGTGGACAAATTTTTCACAAAGTCTCACATCAAAGTATGCTGCATTCCCCTCTACACATCGCTCAAACTCTGTCTCGGTGAGGTTGTGATCAATCCTCAGTCTCGTCATCTCCATGGTTACCACATCAACACTCACAAAGGTCACGTGGGGAGGCTTGGGAGGGTGCTCTGGGTACAAGAGCATGAAGAAGATCTCTGTCCCGGTGGTGTTGAACCTACAGCTGAGAATGCGGCTTGCAGGAAGCTAAAAAAAATGGTGTGAAATAGTTCAAAAGAAACCACGAGCAGACATGTGGCAAAAGTTTACAAACAAGCTTAGCATTAAAACAAGGAAAAACACATGTACACAGAAACATTGAACCTAAGTTGTATCTATGATACAAAATTTACATGAATTTATGGAAACCAGAAGTTGCAGAAATTGTTAGTAGTCTTACTTACTTGTCGTCAATTGGTTATAGGATCTAGGATACATACTGGGGTAACTAGGGGCAATTTTATAGCAGGAGGGATTTAGACTCTTGTCTGACCATATATATGAATGTGTTAGAGTAAGAGTGAACAGAGCAGACCATATGGGAAGGTACACATGCATTTGCTTTGCAAATGTTACCTTTCTAGTTGATGAATTACTGCTGCTTATTTTTCGGAAGAAAATGCAATTTTCCTCACCTTTTTAGGTTTGTATAACCTGGTCATGTATGTAGACAGCTGCCCTGTGGACTGGTACCTGGATATGATGTGGAACAGTGCTCCAGCCTGGGTCACATCTGTGGGCTTGTAGATGGTCGTCTAGTGTGGGACAAAAAAAAAAGCTTTCTTTCAGCATGAAACTAGCAATCTTTGCAGACTTGAATGTGAGTGGAGGAACAATCAAGCAATGTAAATCAGGGCCATACAAACATAGAATGGGGGCAAAAACTCTTTGTTTGAACATGAAACTTGTCATACTTGATACACATCATCTGTATACACTTCAGGACCCTACAACCATCCCAATTTATGCTTTAATCTACATGTATGTAACCTTCTCCTTGCTGCCTAACCAACCCCATAACCAATACAGATTTCGTGCCAAATGGCTACATGTGTACTTTAATAGGCTCAAGGTTACTTTAAAGAATAACAAATGAAGCTTAGAAAACACAACTAACAACAAGGTCTTTCCCAGGCAGGTAGTCTCGGTGCCACGGGTCCTCCAGTCCCAGTAACGCGATGTCATCTTCCGCCTTGTCTCTCTCCTTGGCCAGGTCCTGACGACTTTTCTCCTGCTTCTGTTTCTTCTGAACGTCCGTGTAGATGATTTTGGGCTGGATGTTGGAGGTCGGGGTGAACGTCCTCTCTGCGGTTTCCAAGCGGTACTTTTTGAAGGGCACAAACCAGTCGTAGCTGCTTATATGTCTCCTGTAGAGAGAACGTTACATCAACATATCATGCAAAGTAGATTTAGTAGACACTATCTAATAAAGTTAACCTGTCCTTCATTGGCACATATAATTATACATGCATACCATATGGTACAATGTACATGTGTATTTCAACTCAGTGCTCTAGCCAGCCTGAAATTTTTTCCCGTCATCTTACTTTTGTTTGATGAAACATTTGAGGCATGATGATCCTAGGGGGTCTGGTGCATGCTCCCCTGGAAAACTTGACATCTTGACCATCTGAAACACTATTTCCAGCATTTTAAGGGGCAAATTTTGCTGGTAGACTAAGCTTACATCTCTTTCCATATCTTTCCATATTTTTGTCCATCAAAGATGACAGATTGGGCAAAATGTTTGTCCGTCATGAGAGGCAAAATTCCGTCAAATAGACAGAAAGACGGACGCTGGTTAGAACATTGTCTTATCAAAGCCACTGTTACAGTACCTCTTGTACTTCCAGTGGAAGATGTAGCCCTTGCTGTCCACAGTGACGAGGTCTCCATTGTTGTGTATGTTGCCCATGAGCAGGACCGGGGACTGGTGAGCACGCAGCAGCTCTGCCTCCATCCCGCTAGCCAGACTGTTCCACTCACCTGTCTGGATCTGGGGGAATAAGGGGTGATTTAGTATGAAAGTTCATCTATGTTGGTACAAGTCATTATGAAGTAACACTAGAACTAGAAAGGTAACATTTGCAAAGAAAATGCATATGGTCTGCTCTGTTAATTCTGACTCAAACACATTCATATGTATGGTGACAGCAGTCTAAATCCCTCCTGCTATAAAATCGCAACATGATGTAACCCAACACTAGTTGCCATGGTGACAGACATCTGGTTCAGGTCATTGACCTTCTGTGTTTGGAACGGAAGAAGAAACAGAGCAAAAACAATATGTTTTCCTTCAGTAAACATAACAATTTGTTACAAATGCAAGCAGATGTACAATCATGTAAGATCTGGGTTAGTGTCTGGTCCGGAGAGATACCGTGGGGTCAAGCAACAATGTTCGGTCAATGCTACGGGGCCTACCTTCTCACTGGTCACTCTAGGTGTGGTCAGCTTGTTGATCTTGGTGTCGCCTGCCATCAGTTTCTCTGCATCACACTTCAGCAGATCTCCATTCTCCAGGCAAATCACCAGGTCACTCTGAAGGAAGCACACAGAACTCGCTTAATTTTTCTTGCTTAAAAAAAATCTTGCTTAAGAAAGAGTATTTTGTATATGCCATGCCAGGACTTTTACGTGTTGCAGAAAGTATTCCAAATTACAGAACAAAATTTTGACATTCTGCAATATTGCAGATCACTGAAAAAAAGTATTTCTACCACTGCCTTACCTGTGATCCAAAGAGAGTCATAGATGGGTGAAACGCTGCTGCGGTGGGGGCAAACCTCCCTGTCTGGACCTGGTTCTCGAAGAAGGGCCCCTCGGTGAAGTTGAAGTCATCCTCATCCACATCAATGACCAGCAGCTGTGTCAGCTGTGCTGGGAACACTCCCTCGCTGTCCTTCTCAAGGTCAAGGGCTGTGGAGACAAGGTCAAACATAGTAGGAAAGGATATCATATAGCAGAGTACTATAAAACTTTGTTAACAATGGAGTGCAAGGGAGTTAGTGAGTGAATCAAAATGAAATACATGTACATGTACAGGGCTTGAAATTCATTTTTGGGAATAGGTGCACTGGTGCACCCAACCTAAAAAGTTATGTGCACAAAAAATGTTTTGGGTGCACCATATAAAACAAAACCTAATCACAGATATTACTGCTACTCTTCTGAGCTTGAATCTGAAATGGGAGCTAACTTCAAAGTTAAACAAGTACTTCAACAAAGATTTTATTATTTTTCTGATGCTTAGACACCAACAATATCCTGCATACTATTATACAGCTGATATGTACAAAAATACCTACAAAAATATTTAGGTGCACCAGTGCACCCACAGAAAAAAATTGGGTGCACAGCTCCAATTTTGGGTGCACTAAGGTGCACATGCACCCAGTATTTCGAGCCCTGATGTAATTTACAAGTGGTGTACTAAAACTACATGCATTTGTGTATGACATGCCTCAATGACTCTGTCACATACAAAGGATAGGTGAGGCAGTTTTTACCTTTGATATCCTCTCTGCGCACCCCTCCAGACTGAATGGACCAGACTAGTAAGATGCCCTGCAGAAAGGATGAAAAAGAAGTGAAAAAGAGAAAAACAAGTGATCACCTGGGTAGCCATTTTCTGGTGGTGAATTTTCAATTTTTTTCCTATTTTACACCGACTCACTCACTAGCTATTTATCCGGTTTAGCGTAGCGTCTGTTGTTCTCCCTAGGATTGCATGTGCTTGCACAAAAATGCTGTGGCTTGATGGCATCTTGCCACTTGCCTCTATCCTGTGGATTGATGTTATGTAGACCAATTGCTGCATTTAGTGTTTACCTATCTACATGTACTTGGGTGTGCATCTAACCAATCTCTGTTCTGTATCTGTATCTGTTTAGCCAGTATAACCGTCTTTTGGCATAACACACCAGCTTCGCAGGCACACGGTGCAGCGGCAGCTGGCTATATTACACTGATTGACTTGTTAATCCTAACCCTTGAACTTCTAACTCTAAACATTGTTTAAAGCTATCTAATGATAATGCCCCTACTGTATATACTTGGTGACAGCGAGTTGCAATCTGCAATAGTTCTAGGAAAGAATGAATTCTTGAACACCTCCAGCTCAATCCTTGGTTGATAACTCTGGTATTTGAAGGCATGGCTATTTCTAGTTGATATAAAGTTAATGACTTACCGATGACTTAAGTTGTTGACTTACCGTCTCGTTGATAGTGATGATCCTGGTGCCGTCCAGACTCCAGTTGATGTACAGGACCTGGTCGTCTGACGCTCCCTCGTTCCTCATCTCACGGATGGGCCTCGGGCCCGGCTCCATCCACACATCATACACCATGATGTCACCTGGGACAGAAAATCACGGAAAAGGGTGGAAAAATCACCACTTTGTTTTACTTTTTTTAAAATTAATAAATTGATGATGATGAAAGCCCTTTATTGTACTTGTGAGTCCTTAGTTACATGTAGGATGTTCTCACCATGTACACTTCCCACAGCTAACAGTCTCTGGTCTGGAGAGAGAGCAGCACTGGAGATACCCTGCATCCTCTTACTGTACAGATAGACAACAAATATTCACCTTAGTAACAACTTCGTGGTCACAACAATTCTAAAAGGGTAGGGTCCATCCTAGTGTGAGTGGTTCAAACCTTACACTAGTTCACCTCTTCAAAATGTCAAACCTGAGACCAGATTGTAACTTAGCCACCTGTTATGTCAATCCTTCCACAATTGTGGTGAATCTTCATAAATGAATAAAATAAATGAACAGAATCATGTATCCTGTAAACTGACACATGGTATAAACTCCCAAATTACGCACTCATGGTCCTTTTGTTGTGAAATATGGTGTTAAAGATCTCAGACCTGATCTTGAAGGTGACCAGTACATCTGGTACCATCTTCTTGAAGTGCTGTGCCTCCTCCTGACTGTAGTTCTGGAAGACGTCTTGTAACTTGTCCGACTCTCTCAGGTTCATGGGGAGAAGGTGGAGGTAGTTCAAGGTCGTGATGTCTCCTTCTTCTGGGCTGTAGAGGAAGGAAAGGGATCATTGACAGGCAAGGTCCTTTTTCTTACTAAATAGCCACCAAGTTAGAGACCTGAAGGCCTGTTATACAGAAACATTATGACCAGAACAAACTCAACTGACCTAGAGTTACATGTAGAACTAACTGACACAAAAGGAGAAGCAGTGGTTAGGAAAGCTGCTCAAGAACATCGATCCCCCTCCCCCTTTTTGAAGTTCCTTTAACAAGATGTATTCATACTAACTTTAGAATGTTTAAAATAACCTGTATGGCAATATACAAGTTGATACAACACATTCAAGTTACCTTGGAAGAGAACAAACTGTATCCTTGAAAATGCAGCAAAAGAAGCAGGGAAAATATGATATAAAAAGTTTACATAGAAAATTACACCATAACAATTCAACAGTAAAACTTATGAATGATATTATATAGGAGAACCTGCAGTAACAAAGAATGTAACAGCTTTTTTTCATTTTGTCCCATAGTCCATTTTCTGAGTTCTGAAGTCCATACATGCTCACTATGGATGTGCTCCAATATTTAAAAAAAAATACATTTGGAACAATCAAATCCTGTAAGTCTTACCTCTCATCATCCTCTGCCACAGTTTCCCCCAGCATGTGGAGGTGTTGTGTGTGATTCCACTGTTCCTTCCTGGGAAAGGCAAAAGAAAAGGTAACAGAAGTCAACAAAATTAGCGCATGAACTTTACATATCATGCTAGACAACAAAGATCTCGCTTGATTCCATACACCAGTGCAGAAATGTACAATATTCATTAAATAGCAACAGATGCACAATTTACTTTGTCATACCTACAAAAGGACCACATGGCCACTTTTTGACCCAACCAGTAAGGGTGGCCACCTGTTTGATGTGATCGTTTTCTCAAAGTCCATGAAGTATGTAGTTACTAGACCTACATGTATAGACTGTATAATATTATACTTTTAGTTGATGGGTCAAATGTTTCTTAAATCTCTAATCCTACCTGAGTCTCTTTCTTTCACTGGTCATGTGAGTGACTCCTCTGGTCACGAGGTCATAGGCCGGGTCATCAGGGTCGCGACCTTCCGGTATGCCCGTCGTGACGTTCTCGGTGGAGTTGATGACGAGGTCCTGTCCCATCGCACGCGACATCTCGTGGATGTGTCGCAGTTCCTCCGCCGTGTCTCTTGTCATCTCACGTGTTACCTGATGTAAAAATGAAAATAGAAACTTATAATAAAGGTAACATTTGCAAAGATGCATTCCCGATATGTATTGTAAGCATGTACATTTGGGAATGCATCTGTAGCAGTGACACATGTGCTGCAGTGAAATGTGAACCAGACAGAATTGCCCTGAGGAAGGTGACAGACGGTCACCGAAACATTGGTTGAATAAAAGACTTGGTTGTGTAAAAAGAGTCTCTTTATTCAGTGACTTACCAACATAAAGAGACTATTCACTGACCTCTATGATGAATTCTTCTGCGATGAGTATAGCTGCTCTCCTGCGGGACACTGCCATGACGGAGTTCTCCAAGTCCTTCTTGTCTAACTCATACAGCTGTCTGGTACAAGGAGTTAAGTCTACTAGCAAAAATCACAGCACATCAAGCAAGAGAGATCACAAAATTTATGATAGTTGTGAACTTGTAGGTAACATCAACTCTCGTGATTGCAAATGGTCTACCCTAAGACCACCACATAAAAAACAATGTTTAAAAAATTTAGAAAATGAATTGATATACCCTAAGACAATAATAATTGTTGTGCATTTGACTGCTCCAGACTACTGGTAGTCAAAGGGTGGTCAAAAATTGTGACTGGTTAAAATACATGTAAAATCAAAGCTATCATAGCACACTATTATATGTCCTACTTTTGATTCTAGACTGAAGAAAAGGATACTCGTAAGTGTCCAACAAGACGTCAGGGTCTTTTCTCCTGAAATACTGGTCCAAAACAACATCTACCAGTTCCTCCACAATATCCCGCACCTGGAAAGAGTTGTAAACATCAGACGCAAGTTTACATTTTCAAACAATCCAACCTGTACCTATGTAAACCTCTGTACCAGTACTACTAGTAGTGGTATCTGAAGTTACATTGTTAGGTATACAGACCTACATACAGATAACTTACTTCTTTAGCATGCTTCAGTTCACAGCAAAAGTTACATGGGTGACTGACAACATTCACACATGTATATCATATATCAGAAGAAATAGGACATCTTGTACTACAATACGATGTTCATTATAATATATAGGAGAAAAAAGTTTAAATCACTTAGTATATAGAGATTGGGCAAGATAAACATTTAATTTTGATGCCACCAAAACCATGTTACAAAAGTAGCTTTGGTCAAGGAATATGATATAAAAAAAAATAGGGATGGTCATGTCATTCAAAGGGAGAAAATTGAAAGAAAAATTTGCATTAAAAGGCAAAAAATCTCACCATGAAGAAGTCTTTCATCTGCCATGGTTCGTAAGACTGAGATCCCAACTCTCCGTTGTAGGGACGACTCTTTCTGAGGTACTTGTTTTCCACATAGTCCCTGTGGTGTGAAAGAACCTGGCTGAATGTAAGGTGAACTGAAGCCATACAACTCTTACCTTTTGTTCTAAATGTCAATACAGGATCTAGCTACCTTTGTAGGCAATAAATCGGTCATTGTATATGTCGGTAGTAGTAACAAGCTCATACCCAGAATATGCAATTGTGACGCTCTGGGTGATTTAACACAGAATCTAAAGGTTCAGGGTTCCAATCCTTACTACAGACATGCCCCAATGTTGTGCCCTAGGAAAGACACTTTGACATTGACTCCAACATTGACATTGAAAATAGAAGTGTGATCATGCAAGTTTTACTTTGTTAAACTGTATTGTATAAGTTGGATCACAAGCGATTGCCAAAATCAAAAAAAAAGAAGAAGAAGAAGAAAAAGAAAAAAGATAATCTCTACCTACCGACCCTAATTTTTTCAGGACTGAGACAGGAAACAGGAATTTCAAACATTTTTTCCTACTTCTAGTCCTAGTCACTACATGTACAAAATATAGTTCTAAATGTACAACATCTGAAACACTATATTTCCTGACCTGAGAGCCCTGACATTATCAGCCATGGCAGGCAGGTTGTCCCTGGTCTGTCTCACCAGAGAACCGATGCTCTGTGCACTGTGGGTGCTGTGCCGGGAGGGGAAGTGGGCACTTCCTTCACCTGTTGGTACCAAAATATCAACATTTTGGATTGATTCAGCAGTGTTAGAAATACCCATATACAGTCTGCATTTTGCAGAGACATTTTCAATATTGCAGAAGAAAAATCAAGCAACCTACAGTTTTGTAGGCTGAAAAAATCAGACTTGGGGTACTTGGGGTTCAATGGTGTTTAATAGCTTTGGTGTTTACTACTGACTCTATAATATACAACAGTTGAAAGTTGAAACATTTCTGGTCTAGTTAATACAGTTCAGATCTGGAAAAGCATATTTGCGATGTGATCATTTTGCAGTGGTTTAAGAAGCCACTGCAAAAACCATTAAAAAACATAACCACCACAATACTAGTATTTCAAGATTTAAAGTACACACAACAGGATGTGCATGTAAAACCAACCCTGACCAGTAGTGTCCCAGTCGTTGTCCCTTGGTCTCCTCTTCTTCTGCTCAAGCCGGTCCAGAATGCTCTGCTTCTCATCTATCAGTCTCTGTAACTCCAACTCCTGTTCTGTCTGCTTGTTTCTGTGTTGCTATGGTAACCAAGAAATGATACAGAAATCATCACATGGTGGAATTCAGATATGGCTTTTATCATATTGTATACTGTATCATGATGATGATGATATAGCACCCTGGAATCTAGTCCTGAGTTCAAATCCTGATGTTGTGTGAGTGTTCTTGGGAAAGTATAACAATTGTACTTCTCGTAAGATACATTCATACATACAATCAAGTTGCAGGCACGTAATTACGAAAACACATACTAGCAATTTGCAAACTTTTCATATTATTTTTTAGTATCATGTGCTTTCAGGTACATGGATTTTTATTTCTTGATCTCTTTGTTTTCAAACTGCCCTAGCCTGCTACTCTGTACTGGATTTAAACAATTGTACATGTAACGTTATACATATATACAATGCATCAGTCCATACCTGTTGTCTTCTGGTCATGATGTCATCCAGTAGTGGTGTTGGTTCTCTGTCTGTGTCAGAGTAGGCAGTACTGGGAGCTAGGAAGGAAACAAAAATCTAGTTCACATCATCTATTTGCATTACTCCTTGCAAAAAAATAAGTAGGCCTTGGAAAATTATTATCGTGTTTCCGGTTTCGGTCCTGAAAAAAATAGAGATTTGGGGATTTTCTTCTTTTTTTTTCCTTTTTATACTTCGATAGGCTATAATGTCTCAAGGACATGCCCACCTGTTTGCTTGTGGACAAATATTTCACCAAATTTACTTAAGAAAGATTGCTTCTGGAAATAGCAAATGATGTTTCAGATTTCAGATGGTTTGGAATGCAGATGTCAGATCAAATATCTTATAGCCTTACCAGAGGCCGATAAAAAAAGGCTTGGGTCGGTGAATTTTTGCTAGGTTCAGTCGGGAAACTGGAAACACAAAAACTCATTTTTTAAAGGGCCTACCTAAGATAACATGATGCATGACAATGTTTTGTGTATTGGAAGCAGAGAATCTCTAAGAAAAGGTACCATATTGCCTGACAGCTCTGGGTGCAGCCTGTGGTCCGTACAGGTTGGTTAGCTCTCCTTTCAAGGCTCTTCCATTCAGTCGATCCTGTAGAAACAGACAGTCATAATCGCACATGGACCACATTAACTAAACCCAGTTTTTGTCACAGCCTGCTTGAAGATACTGCAAGATTTTGAAAAAACTGCATCAAAATCATCCAAAAAACTCCTACAATAAAAGTGACCATGTTGTAACACAGTAGAGACTACAGATATTATGGCATTGATATTACTGAGTATATAGAGCTAGGGGTATCGTTGTCAAATCAATGAAGGGTTGACTTACCATAACCAGATCTTCCCTCGCCTGTCTGTCCTGCCTCAGGACTTTTCTCACATCAGTCAGTTCATCTTGCCTGCAATCACACACACAAAAAATTACTTAATTGCATATTTTAAGCTATAATTCACATTGCTTGACTTGCCGCCTGGTTAGGTTTACCTTAGTTTTTCTTTTTAACTTGGGAAGTGTGTTTTCTTAGCATAGTAAAGGACTCAAGGTGTTCGTCCCTTTAATATTGATTTTAAACCTGTTCAGTTGAATATTTTCATGATCGTGCATTTCATCATGGAGCTAAAAAAAGGTCGATCAGCTCAAAAAATTTATGTCCCTTGCCGGGGTCTACACACAAAAAATGAGTCTAGGGTTGGCAGTTTTTAATATGGTCGGTCGGAAAACAGGAGACACAAAATTTGTTTCTAGGCCTTACCACTCTACTCGCAGAAGTGTTTCAACCACAAACATGTTAGAACATAGTCATTAAATGACTGTACATACTGTACCACCCCTCTACTCACTTGTCCTGTACAGCGCTCAGCAGGGCCTCCTTTTCTCGCTGTATAGACTGGAGCTTTAACTTCTGCAGGGCCAAGATGTCTTCAGCTCGCTTCTTCTTAGACATGCTGTTGGCTATCTGATCTCCGCATCTACTGGCTGTGAACACAGGTTTTATTGCATTTTAATGAGCTTTTCATTCCAGTAAAATGAAGTATGAGAAAATAATACTACATGTAATAATACTTTACTGATTTTTTTTTATTCCTCAGTCTATTTTCTTAAGTTCCTCTTGGGATACTATACTTTATACTTTTAATACTGTATTTCATTAATATGCATTCCAGCCCTGATGGCAAAACTTACTAAGGTAGGATAGGTTGTAGCAAGGAGGTTAAATTTAAAGCTCCTTGGTTGTGGATATTTTTGTGAATAGATTAAAACAGCAAAGGCAATTTATAATTAGCAGTGTTATCAAGAACCTGAAAATATATAATTTGGGAACATACCTGCGAAAACTGGTACAGGTTGCTGTAAGTAACCCAGAATAAGTGTTGAACTTTTTGTGGAGGTGAAAACTTGAAGTTAGGCCAAGGAGGTTTAAATCTTCTTGCTTAGAATCAACTTGGCCTGAAGTTGAACGACGTCGTCTGTGCCGCTAAATTTTATCATACACCCCTCCCCCTTCGGAGCAAAAGTCACCCGAGACCCCGCCTCCTATGTAAACACTTGGGCCTTTTTCTAACCGTAATATCCTTTACATGGCTAAGAAAGGATCCCTAAAAACGATCTGCTCGCCAAGAAAGCCGACCTAGCAACGATTACAAACTCCGCGGTAAAGTTTCCTTTGAACCAACCTCCAAAACACCTGTGGGGCCTCGCATGAACTATTGATTTGTAGCTGTCTTTTGCTACATTTAAGTTGTGCCTATTACGTAGTCCGTTTTTACGAAACTTTACATAACAGTTCTTAATTTTTACCAAAAATAATGACATAAATAAAATAAAAGTATTATTGCTATAGACATTATTGTATATCCAATGTAAGATAGCTGTTATAAGGTGAAATATCACTCGCAAATACGTGCAGGCACAATTAAAATCATAACTTGGTAGCCGTTCAAAATCGTGCCCGGATGCCTAATATAAACGCAGTAATAAGTCGGATGGTTACAGAAAAAGGATCTTTGATCGTGATTACTAATATTCTAGTCAGTATATCCCTTTTTACATTCATTTTATAGATATTAATAATGCCGAACACAGGTACCGTCATAGAAATATTGTAAAATTTCACACCGATTTCAACTGCCTCGATAGCTCAGTTGGGAGAGCGTTAGACTGAAGTCCCGGAGGCCGACACACTGGCCTGTCTAACTGGTGATCTAAAGGTCCCCGGTTCAATCCCGGGTCGGGGCAAATTTTTTTCATGTTTTTTTTTTTTACATACCTATGTCCTATTCTGTTCTGCTCGTTTTTAAGATGTAGTAAATGTATATCCAATTTTTTTTCTTCATTTTTTCAACCAACATGTGGATAAATATATTTAAAAATTCACAATGCATGTAGTGAATGGATCTCTGCAAAGACACGTGTATATACGGCTTGCTAATAAGATATTTGTGATCTGTGTCGCGACTAAATTCCTGTTAGACCAAAGCAGATGACAGAGTAGTTTGATTCTAAAAATGACATATGTATCTATCTGCTATCCTGTGTACTATATTTGCCTCTCCGTCCGTCCAAAATGCCTTTACAGATCTCAAGTTATATAATACTAGTACTGTCGGTCCGACCCATATTGCTTTTCACTGAGCACCTCCGAACAGGTATCATGTGTGGGCAGGTTGTTCTTGTCTATTGTGAGTTGTCATGGTGCCATTGTTGTCTCTCAGTCAAAAACGTCACGGGCTTGTGAAGACACTGTCAGAAACTGTAGGCAGTACAATTAACGTTGGCTTGCGTGCCGTGCAAATACTAATACCAGTGATAGCCGGATTTCAAGAACCCACGTCACAATAGCTATGTTTAACACACATATGCTTGATGAGTCACCTGATATTTAGGGTTTACGAAACACAAAAGGCTATTCTTAGCAGGTGACGTCTTGCGTTTTGAATCGGCTACCTGGTGTGTGTCTGACGTCAACCCTTAATTTTCCCGTATCCCGAAGGACTAGTTGTATAACAGCACTCGGCAGAAGACTAGGCAAGGTTTCTGGTGTGTGATGCCGGATCTGTGGACAGTATTTGTCGTCTTGTCATTCGAATTTGCTCTCAGTGGACAATCGACAGGTAAGAATCCGCCATCTTTGCTCTTAAAATGAACCGGGTCACTGAACACCACCATGTTGGTCAGGACTGTGTAGCTCTGTAACTCACGTTACAATAACTTACATGTACCTGTACCTGTAAACTAGTAACGTTACAGGTTGACTCCAGAATGTGTACCTGAAGAAACTTAAAACAGTAGTACTAGTAGTGGATACCGTTGTTGAACTAAAGATAGGTATTGTCCGTTTCAACGATGACAAGTTTGCAAATGAAACCCAGAAAAATTGAAGACACTGTTCAGTTGATAACGTTATATGTAAACTTCTAATGATAATAAAAAGAGACGACAATATAGCTGACTAAAAGACACCTGGCTTTCTTAACTACATATGCACATGAACATGTACAGACAACTGGCCGTACCTGTATCTTTGAAACTGGACCTAGCCGGTATCATTCAAAACCGCCGCACATGTACAAACCTCTGTTCGACAGGTTGTTGTCAAATGTTGACTGTTGTGAAATTAACGACATCGATACTTCCAAAAGCTTAGTCATTGAGTGTTCAGTGCTCCCTAAGGAGAAATAATATCTAAATTAGAAACTCGAACAACCAACATACTTTAATATTACGGTTAAGCCTCAAAACAAAGCCCTCTTTGTTCGCTGAATTAAGATGGGCGTGTCGTGTGTGTGTGGAGGGGGGGGGGGCATTAGGTATACCAGGGACATTTCTTCTGTATGATGTCCTTGGGTCTACCTACCATTAAATTTTTCTCGTACTTTTGGTAGATGATGTGCGAACGGTATAGTTTTGACGGCCTTTGGACATTGGTTGCTAGCGCACTACATGTGCCCATAGCCGTTTCGCAAGCAGCAAATACTAAATGTGCATTTATTACAATTGCATGCGAACGTAGAAAGGATATTGTTATGTATACATTCACCATATTTTTCGTCCCAAATCCCAGACGTCTTAACGTATTATTGAAACTGGCAGAGCCACTGTGCATAGAAGGGGGAGGGGCCATTTCTTTAAGAAGCAATTTTGGACCATCGCATGTCGTAATGATGATAGCTAATCTTTAATGCAATTGCAAGTGACAAAACGATAACGGACATTGTCAGACCATGATTGAACTGGTGTCTAACCTTCTGTAAGGCAACTATCAATCATTGTTGTGGGTTTGACTCCTTCTATAATATCATAAGGTTTGACATCTTTGATGTAATATCATCCCCTGTATTCCTTACACAGCAGTTGCAAGCCCAGGGTACGTAACCCTGGGGTGCTGGAAAGACTCGAGCGATCGCGCCATTCCCATACTTGAGGGGACGGACCCACGACTGGACGGCCAGTACAGGGAACGTGAGAATGCCATCGAGAAGTGTTTCCAGGTAGCAGTGTCCCGCGGCTTCCCCGTGTTCTCCGTACAGCATGGCGGGCAGTGTTTCGGGTCTGCCGACGGGCTGAGCACGTATATGAAGCACGGACCGTCCTCGGACTGCGCAGCGGACGGCAAAGGCGCGGCCTGGGCCAACCAAGTCTACCAGATTACAGGTATGGCGTTTACTAGTAGTTATTTTACACTATGCCATGAATATTCATCGTGTAATCGAAAATATTATCCATGCCTATCCCTTTCATCCCTTTGAAGGAATCCGGCTTCTTCTACTCTCTTTCTACCCCCATGTTTCTACTAAGCGTCATAGGCGACTGGAAAGAACAGAAATTAAGTCAAATAGACAGATTGGGAGTTAACGTTAGTCAGGTAGACGGGAGTGCGTATACAGTTTGCCGCTCTGAGCGTACTCCTAATTCGGACCTGGCATGTTTTGTGCCTATTTGGCCTACTCTTTCCGGCCACCTCTGAAGCCTGGTAGAGGCTAGGGACCCGGTACCTGTAAAATGAATTATTAGAGACTGGTATGTTAAAAAAAACACCTGTTATACGAAAAATAAGTTAGAACTTAGAACACCATATTTTAGACTTAACGTTACCCCATGTCTTTTTGTATGTGACAATGATTGTATAACTATAAAAGCTTTTAAAGTCTGGTTGGATATGGTTTAAAGAATTCTTTTCTTTTCGTGACCAGCAGGGTACAGAAGTCTGGGTTGTTGGGCCGACACTGATGACCGCGCCATCCGGACACTCGAGGGGACAGATCCACGCCTGGATGGCGGATATCAGCAACGAAACGACTCCGTTGAGAAGTGTTACCAGGTAGCACTTTCTCGGGGCTTTGCGGTGTTTGCTGTACAGAATGGCGGCTGGTGCGCCGGATCGGACACGGCGCGTCAAGGCTACAGCAAGTACGGACCGTCCACGGCCTGCGGTAGAGACGGGGAAGGCGGGCCATGGGCAAACCAGGTGTACGAGATAATACTGATTGGAGGTAAATGATACAGAAAGTTTTATTTCATAGGGAGTCATAGAGGGTTTTTGCCTAGAGGCTAAATAGATGCCTGTACATGTGCCTGCCACTTACTCACGACTGCGATGTAAAAGATTTGATAGTAATTGAGACTTATGTTGCCTTTGACAGGGTGTGAAAACAGAAGCACAGACGACCAGTACGTGTTCAGGTGGAACCTGACCGCTATCGACTCCTCGTCCCTTTTTACTTTTGAAGTCCAAGCGAACAACGACGCCCATGTGGCCCTGTCGTCTCAAAACCAGGACCTGGACGATATGTACGAAATCGTTATCGGTGGCTGGAACAACACAAGGTCCGCCATTCGCCGCAGCAAACAGGGAGCTAACCGGGCATTCAGCTCAACACCAGGTAGGACTCTATGGTACTTTCTGTGATCCCACCGCTGACACCATGTTTTGTGTCTTAGTAAACCAGAAAACATTGCAATAGATGCGTTCTTGAGAGACAACTGCAAAATCTTATTCTGCTATCTTTTTATTAGTCTGTATCTATGATGATGATGATCTATGTCATGAGTCTGCATCGCGGAGTGATGCAGGCTGTGCGTAGGTGACAATCTGCTTGGTGATAAAGTAGTGCGGAAGCTGTTATCGTCCAGCTTACTAGTTGTGGTCGGCAAAAACTTGAACTAATCCGTGGGTGCTTGTGAGATAAGACACAGCTTAAAGTACAAAATATAGAGCAGAGCATTGACGAAGTCTTGATCATACCTTCAGGTATTCTATCATCCACGGAGTCTAGAGGTTTTTGGATATCCTGGACTGCGACCGGAAGTATTAGTGTTGGAAGACAAGGAGAGGCGCACCCTTTTCTGGAGTGGACGGACCCTCAGCCGCTCCATGTGGCTTATGCCGGCTACACGACCGGGTGGGGAAGCACGGGGCAGTGGAGGTTTTGTCCGTCACTTACAGGTAAGCTTGGAAGTCTAAATCTTTCCGTTTAGTGCATAGGGCGGTGCCCATCTCCAAGCAGAGCTTTGGCTTATTTTGGACGAGGTTTGGGGCTTTTTTAAAGGGCTTTCTTTTTTGTACTGGTATTTATGTTAAACTGACACAAAAAAGATACCGGTAAAAAAGAAGGAAGCCCGATAAAAGAGGCCTCCCCCCCCCCCCTACCAAAAAAGCCCAAACCTGTGCTTGGAGAGTAAAACCTGATCTGCAAATTCCTTTCTCCATGAAAAGGGGACCTTATTGCCATTATTCGCATTAAGCATTCTCTGGGTCTGGGTAACAAAGTTTTTTTATACAAAGCTAATGGGTTAATGTAGTAACTAGCCAACGTTTCGGTGACCGTCTGTCACCTTCCTCTGGGCACAAAATATTCGAGTTGTTTCTACTTGCACTGCAGCTTACATTCTATTGGTACGGTTTGGAAGATAGCTTGAAGTTGAATGGATCGGTCATATTATAGTGTAATGTAAAAAAAAACTCTCCTTGATCAAGCTGAAATATGCCGGACTGGGAAGGGCATGTGGATGTGACATAGAATGTTATTGTCATTTCAGGACCAAGGACAGTACCTCAACCGTCATCTTCAGGCGGGGGACTAAACGGTTTTCAATATTTGGGCATATTTGTTGGATTTATGATGAGTTTGGTTTGTTTGCAACACGGAAAACAAAGGCTGCAAAACAATGATTGGAACTTCGTCCGGGCCTTCTCATGCTGGCGACGAGATGCACAGAACTCTAACAATAGCTCTGACACTAACGACCAAGGGTACGATAACCCGCCGTCTTATCCAGAGGTTGTAATATCAGTGGTCGAAGTAGAGCCATCAGCCTCTTCAGAAGATCCTCCATCTTATGCAAATGCTTCTTCAGAGGACCCTCCTCCTCCTCCTTCATACGAGGATGCCTTGAACATGCCAAAGTGATTCCTTCAGTGACTGGTCTGTCAGGATGTGACATGGAATGTTGTTGTTATTTCAGGACAAAATAGAGACCCTGGATCGGGAGGAGGAGGAGGAGGACTAAGTGGTCTGCACATAGCCGGCATAGTTGTGGGAATCGTGGTGTTTTGCGGCTGTATAACTGGTAACCGTAGGGGGAGGGGCCAGCCTGCTGCCAGACCACCTTCTAGGCCTGCACCAGCAACCCCAGCAACCCCACGGAACCAACACAACGTTAACACAAACGGTCTCACAACCTCTGTGAGCTTACAAGACTTGGCCAGTGACAGTTCTAGCCTATGGTCCATTCGTCTTTCAAATTCCTTAAACGATGTACGTGCTGACACTGTGTCTATGAATGGTATAGACAATACAGGCGCAGTGTATGATGAACCGCCGTCTTACCCAGAAGTATCTACATCAGTGGTCCAAGTACATCCTTTGTCCTCCGAGGATCCACCTTCATATGCTAATGCTTCTTCAGAGGACCCTCCCCCTCCTTCATACGAGGATGCTTTGAACATGGCTTAAGGATCATATATTCCATTAACACTTTCCCAAAGCTCTATTCTACTACACCTCTTAGCAGCTAAGGTATCAAAGACATTCAGATACAGTAACACTTCAATGGTTTGCTGCTGATCTTCCACTAGAGAACATCTTTTTTTACCATCAACATGTTAGGGTCTACATGGGGGGATCCTGGAAACAATAAAACATCTGATGATGTGAAATGTGTACAAAGGACGTACAAGAATCAAGGAAGCTGCTGAAGTTTTGTAACGTGCTGCTGCCACAATTCCAAGACTGTTACACTACAGCCAATGCCTTATACCCAACAATGGTTAAACTGGCTGTACAGATACAGAAGCTGGTGTGTTATGACAAAGGGTGGTTATACCGGCTATACTGATATAAAGCTTATCTGAATATTGACACAAGGACAAGTCTTTCATACATAATGTGATTACATAACAATGTTGATATTGTTCAGTTACTTTAAGTACATGTATATCTATGCGTTTGATCATGTTATATTTAGTCTTTTTCAAGAATGAGTAAATGTATTGTGACAAATGGGTAATTATCATTGAGTCCCCATCTAGTAATTTATTATTATTGAAAATTCCTCATTGTTAATATGAATAATTAAGTTTAATAATGGTATATAATAATTGTGGTTATCCTTGTTCTCTAACCTAGGTAATGATTTATACAAAAACAGCTTTAACAAAAATGACATTAAGTTGTGAATGTAATAAAAATGTTCTTTATTCAATGACACCCTCTGTAACAATATGTCAAAATAACAATCACAGAAAATTCAAATGTTAATGTAATACATCTCTTATAGTCTTTAATATTGAGACCACTAATCAAGAATGATTAAAAACTTCTCAACATTTCAGTGGCGTTGAGTTAATCTGTCTGGCATTATATGATAGACATGTTATCTTTTAATCTCAAATGCTGTAGTTGCTACGTAGTGTCAAAGCTTAAACTAACAAATAACAATGGCACTTTCATGGCATCAAAACCTCAAATCTTTCCTTTTACTTTGTAAAACGTTGATGTCCTCTATGGCCTGTGAGGTCATCTTCAGAATAGCTGCTACATCCATAGGCATTGTGGGATTGCTGCTACAAGGAATTGTGGGAGTGCCAGCAGGTGAGAGGTGAGAAGGCTGTGTGGTGGTGCCTTCTGCTTCCATACTCCTCCTACCATATTTAGCCGGTACTGCAGTCCATGGAAACGCTGCATTCTCCAGAATGTCTGGTCAAACAGTGTCAAGGAAGAAACCATGCATGGAAAATAGCTATTAATGATAAATTGTAGGCATTTCTTCTGTTTTACAATGTGCCACACCCACAGCAGGAGGACAGATGCTTGGTGTGCAGGTGTACCCCCTGTTGTCTGAAGTAAAAAGTGCAGTATCCACTTCCTGCATTTCCTGTACATTGAAAAAGCATATTAATTAAAGTATCATTGTAGCTTAGTATGAGTGTTTTGTGTTACTAAGACACTAAGTCACCATATACTTATTTTTACTTCCAGATATGGAAGTATTGTTTTAGGTGTGAGCTATGTTTCTGTTTGGTCAGAGTAGGTTGACAGCATGTGGGTGAAAAAGATTGATATGTGAAATGACAGGAGGTCAAAAGATTAGATAGGGGAAGTGGCTCTGGCCTGGAGCCGGCGGGAATTCAGATGCCTATACTTCCCAGAAGTCTGAAATCACTGCTTTCTTTGAGATGGTTTGAGGAAGATAACTTTCCAACATATGCTGACACAGACAAGCAACAAGTTTTCTTTAAGTCTGTAACACAGCCCACATGCACCCACACAGTCCCATTTGAGTAACACTACACTACACTTTCAATAATGTTTTGATTACAGCTTAAATCTAATGCTAGTAATCTTTGTCAAATCAAAAATGCATTACCCAATCATCCAGATTATTATCACCCAATGTTACAATTTAAAGTTAATCCTCAGTTGTCACATTATACAGGACTTCATAATCCTTCCAAAATCTAATTTCCTGTAAGAACAATTTAGATAATCCACCACCTGTTGCCTTAATTTTCACAACATCAAGTCCTAATGTAAATGAAATGTTTGGCCTTCAAATGTAGCTCACTGGTACATACAATGGATTTACAATTACATGTAATAATAATAAAACTATATATAATTATAAATCATCTTTATTACATATATGTACAAGATAAATAATACAAGTTAAAAGTCTTGGACAGCCCTTTATGCATACAGTCACTGTATGGCATGTGTATGCATCAGACATTTTAGATGTTTGCTATCAACATTACTGTACATCAATTTTGAGTACATTATTGATTAAAAAAGGTACATTTTAGAGATATTAAATCATTGTCTTATCTTCAATATACCTTCTCTAGGAAAACATCCTGAAGTACATTCACTACAAAGTAAAAAGGGGGAGCATCCAACCTTAGACTGATTTGAAATATGAAAGCTCTGTATGTTGGTCTTTATTTAGCACAAACATAAAAGACACATAAGGACATATCTTCAGATTGACAGCACCAGGTGCTATGTGTTTTCCTCAACATGCTCTGAGTTGTGACAACAACAAAACCACCAAAATGGCAATCTGCCAGAACACACATTAACTGAACTCAGGCTAAGGGGCTCTTGTTAGGGAATTGAGTTATTTCAGGCATCCTCCCCATAGATGCAGAGGAACTTAGCTACACTACTGACACATGACAAGTTCTGAGCACTAACCATACACCTGTTTCATGGTATTTGTTTGGCTACATTATAAAGAGGGAGAACTTACATTGTAATTGCATGACATGGTACAATGTATGGCAACGGGAATTCACCATAGTACAAAAAAGAAAAGGGATATAAAATGAAACTTCACATTCTAGTTACTAAACATCAAGTCTAATATACAAGTATAGTATAATAATACACCCAATTAGAGCTAGTCATGATCACGAGTTTCGGTAGTTGTGCTATCAAAAACTTGCAACCAAATTTACATTACCCAATTCTTGGTGTAAGCTCCCTTATACTAGATTCCAAAACATCAATTTACTTCCTAATAATCTACCCATCTCAGTAGACAGATGCTGGTAGTAGTCTTCATCCCTCTGGGCTATGTCTATAGCTTACTACCCTTATCTTAAAAAGGAAAGGCATCTACTCTGCCTCTTGTGTATGTAATTTACTCCTTGCAAGTATGGAGGTTTTCCAACCGAGAATCATTATGGTTTGGTGGTCTACCACTAGAATTCACAGTTCACATGTTGTTCTGCTAAATTCCTGAAAGACTTAAATTTCTTATTCTCCATGGGCAGTTATGTGTTTAATGTGTGCCTTCTGCAATGCAAAGTCTCAAAATTCAGTGTGCTGAACTTATCTTTTCCGGGTAGATCATTATTCCATTCCTAACAGTCATAAGAAGGAGGAGGCTAATCATCTTGGTATTTCAACTGTGTCCCAAATGTAATCCATCAAAAGGAATACTGCAGTTAAGATCCTTGTTAAGCACACAGTCATGTAATTCAGGACTGCGGATACAGGAGATATGTGCATACCTTCTGTCAAATATCTTTAGAGTCATTCCAGTTGCAATACAGGACAGAGCCTGGAACTTTGAACAAATCTGAAAAGAAGTTTCTACAGTAGAAGGAATGTCCAGTCCATTTGAAATAAGAGGTAAGTAGTACAGTCTACACCGGGAATCAAACCTACATCAGGGCAACCAGCTTACAAATGCAACACGCTAACCATTAGGCCAAAAGGTCTCCCCCGTCAGACAAGTCAGTTGGTAGCACGGAGTGAAATCTCACTGTTACACATTCATTGATTCAGTCATCAGGTTTAACAAGCACATTGTACCGTCTCCTTTTCAACAACTCCTGACCAAGGACAAGTCCTGGCCTTCTTTATGTTCAGATGTAAGCCTCAGTCACCACCAGAGTAAAGCTCCGGGGTGTAACAGTCTGAGTTCCTGCTGTGTGGTTACAATAGCTTTTCAGCAGACTGAGTTCTGGTTCCAAAGGCAAAGAAGAGGCAGAAAAATAACCTCTGGTGGTTTTACCTTTTTAGGGCCATATAAATCAAATTTGTTGGTTCTGGATTCATAAAAAAGTCTATATAATATGTACTTTCTGTATAAACACAGGCATACTCGAGTTTTCATTCCATATTGTCTTCCTGCTTAAGTTACTTTTAAAAGTCAGCAAATCAAGGAAATGAATTGGTGTGGCGTTGAAAAAAAAGAGAGAATGAAATATTCCTGTACACCCCTATGCTGTCTACTTTTTGGAATAGTCCAGAACTGATGAATGATTGACAGGTAGGTGGAAAGGCTGTTGACATTGATGGATCAACTCCCTCCTCACTACTAAACCACTGGACTAGTCCATTCTGCCCAGTTGGAGGGAGGGGCTGTTTCTTACTTTCTTTGAATTCTATTTACATGTATCAGCATATGTCTATCAATGAAAAGAGTAAATTTGAGGATCATGAAAAGGTTTTAACCTCTGTAATTGATGACAGTGTAACACTTTATGCATTTCTTCCTTTTACCTGTCACTTTTTCATGGAAGTTACCGGTTTCCCTTTTTCTTTGACATCGTGTACAATCCCTCTACTCATTTACAGATAAGGAAGAAGAAGAAGAAGAAGAAGGAAGAAGCAACATCTGGAGAGTAACTATTGTTGTTTTCTTTATAAATCAGAAAAAGTCGAAAGGAAAGCAGGACCAAGGTTTTGTAGTAATACAGCAGTAGTAACCACACACTGGGTGTCAGGATTTAAATAGATTCAGCATGCCGTGTTACTGATATGATAGAAATTTCTAATGAGTGCCGGTATGTCCTAATTAGTGGAACACTGGGTGGCGGCAATCCTTACATGATCTGTACAGGAAACCAACAGGAGTATATTTGGGAACTAATCCAGCAGGATTTAGATATTTAATACAGGCAGTAAAATAATTAGGATGATGACATCTCAAAATAGAAGTCTATACTAAATCAATAACTATGTGTTTGTCAACATTCAATGATATGCATTATAATATATTCCTACAGGCACAATAAAATTGTATTTGGCAATTGATATACAATGTGCACAATACCAGGTACCTCAAACTTGAGATAGAAACTTCCAAGTCTTGTGAAGAAATAACATTACAATTCCTTGAGGGCCTTGAGCTAAAACCCAAAGCAAGATACAACTTCTTTCTTTTAGACATGCTGAAACTGAGTTGATGATACCCACCTTGAGTACAAAAAAAAAGGAAAAGTGCAATGCAGAGAGTCTTGTGCATCCTCTTTAAACTTTCTTCTACATACTTTCCTAGAGGCTTGCTGCACTGTATACAAAATTTATGCTTGAGGCTAATCATTTGAGACTTAATTAGAACCTACTAACTGATTTAGTCCAGCCCACCTGGGTCCAGGGTCCTGGTAGAGATCACAGGCCCGGCCCACACCCATCTCCTAATCAGCTCAGCTCTGCTGCTGAAAGGAGGCCATTCACAGGATGTTGTGAGCCTTTCCGCTTTTACTGAAACTTTATCAACAACAACATCGGAAACTACAATTCCTCCAGGTTTTCACCAACCAAGCTGGAACTTTCTAAGAGTGTGACTTGCCGAGGAACTGAGAGCTGCTACTAGCATTTCTTGGAAACTGGAGAGGGAAAGTTTGTGGGGAAAGTTTTGAAAAAGGGAAAGTAAAGAGGTAAGTGGAACCTGATGTTTGCTTGGAAGCAAGAGTGTGATTAATGGTAGACTTGAGAGGAGGATTACACACAGAGCATGGTTGTTTTTTGTTGTTACATTGACAGTTCATTAATTCAGGGCTTTGTGACACCTAGAGAGAGGAAAGGTACAAGTTCAGTCACAGTTACTTTTGGAAACAGCCGCTGATGGAAACTTTGCTAGAACAGATGTGATCTGGAAGAGCCTTTTGGCCATTTCTACACCATGCTGTTTAGACCTTCTACTAAGATGACAAGAGCCGAAGAGATACCGCACTGCACAGCTAGACATTCAAAATGGCTGTTTTTCTTTTACCTTGAAGTAGTATGTATTAGTCTGTTTTGTATGGCTTTAGATGTAGGTAGGTGACATCCTGCTTAGTTTATCATTATGTCAGCTTGACACATAAGAAGCTTTGTGTTTTTTTCTTTTCTGTTACCTATTTGTTGGTGTTTTTGTTTTACCTTGAACATCAAAACTATCTTTTCAAGCTGGTTTCAAACAAATGGTTATCATCACTGTTGGGCTTCCATCACATCATATTGGGCATTATTTGTTTCAGACCATTTGTTGTTGTATTGATCTAACTTTGATATGAAGAGGAGCAAACAAAGGTAAAGTACAGTAGAGAGTGGACATCATATATAAAGAATTGTAGTATTTCAGTTTGTGCTGCTCTTTATTTGATGGACTTCTCAGTGTTTTCTGGGTTATTGAGTGCTACTGGATGGTGTTCTTTCTTTAACTTTTGAAGTACAGAGGATGGTTGAGAATTATATAGCGTTTAAATCCAAACATAAACTTTGTGCATTGTGGCTTGCTACATGTACATTCCTATGAATTGCACCTTCTTAGTCCTGACCTATTTCTAGTTTTTGTTGTTCATCCTCGGGCTCGCAAAGCTTTGTGTCCCTGGTCAGAGCTCAGGGCTTAAACCCTCTATTTACTGTATCTCTGGGTCACCAGGATGAGACATAATTATTTTCTCCTGCCCTAGTTTCACTCAATGTAAAGCCTGTAATCTAGCTGGATATCATTCTGAAATCTCAGTTTCACTGAGAAGTGAGGTCTCTCAAAACAGCTAAGTAACTGTATTGGATTGAAGTGTTAAGTTAACTGCCGCTATGTATCAAAGAGGAACTGCAGTTCTGCAGTTTTTTATGCCATCAGAAAATATCTAGTTCGAAATTCTTAGGTAGAACAATGTGACCCTGTGACATGATTTTCCATCTTCAACTTGAAATTTTTGTTAGAAAAATTTTTAAAACTTGGGATTAGGTTAATTTGCATATTTTCATATGCAGATTTTTCACGTGCAAGAGTTTCAGGCACAAATTTTTCATGCGCACAAAATCCCATCTCTGAAGATGTTTCATCATATATTAGAGATGCTTGCTTTGGAGAATTGCAAGAATCTGCTTCTACATCATTTCAACTACCTGAACTTAAAGCACTGCAAGGGCTCATATCCCCTACTACCACGAAATCAAGCCCAAGGAAGTACATTGAAGATTTGAAGACTTACAAAAGTTAAAACATGCAGGAGCCTGCAGTACTTTAGCTGTAAACCACTGGGTGAGAGTGACCTGTTTTGATCTCCGTGCCCCTGTAACAAATCAATTCTCTGCAGCAAATCATGCCTGGAAGTGTGAGGCAGACCTGTCAGCTGTCAATCACTCAAGGGGGCAGGCTTTGATCTGTCCCAAGTTGAGACAGATGTCTCCTGAGGATACTGAGTGATACCTGCCAGACTACTGCATCCAAATTAAGTACATGTACAACTGCACATTCCAGAGGATATGTCTAAGTACATTCTGCACACTTTTGGTTGGATTTTTTGTTCGTGTATCTGATAAGCCCTTAATAACAACAATTTTGTACATCAAGTCTAGACTGTAAGGTTTGATCCACTTATTCTAAGAAGGACCCCTAGGCTCTAGGAAAAGTGTGGTCTGTGGTCAGATACTAGTAACACCATCATGTGAGCAAGTTCCTAAAACTACCATGATGGTACCCTGGCTACTTTTTCTCCTAGCAGTCCCAACCTTAAAGTCTAAATCATACACATGTACTTGCATTCACTTCATGTTCATGGTAGCAAAATGTCATGGTCTGAGAAAAATGGAGATTTTGACCGTTCAAAGTAGCTGGGAGAGGGCAAGGGGGTTGAAAGATGATTGAGTTGTTAGTGGTAATGATAAGTTCAAGGTACAGAAGTGACCATGAAAGCCATAAACATGAAAGTACATGTACCATTAAGAAAATCAGGAATTATAGTGATAAAGGTTAAAGCGATGGCAAAATCTGTGTCATGGCCTAAACATGTCATGGTTAACCTCATCCTTGGACACACAGGAAGGCTGCAGGAACCAACCTATTACTGAAGGGGAACTCCAGGAACCACTGCTTAATGTAACGTACAACATTCGGTTATCAATTAGGACGGGTGACCTTGCTCTAGACTCCTAAATCCCAATTGACTTTGCGTGACTTGGGTGTGCTTGTAACATTAAATCTGACAGAACACTGGCTGGTTTAATCCCCAATTAGCGTTGTGATCTAAGGGTTCATGTTTGTGTGACAGACAGGATATCAACTCATTATCCATTGAACTTCAAAGGACATACATGTACATGTACTTGGTTACATAACTAAGACATCTACAGGTAACAACTTACTCTCAAAAACTACAAAATGTCATCATACAACATACTTCTCTACATCCTTTTTTTACATCCAAACCATACATGCTATAAATATAGTATAATGTAGAGAAGTAAAAAAAACTAATCATAGCAAATTATAAGTAACGTTACTGATTTGAGATTACAGCCTATAAAACCCAGGGGGTTTGGTGGGTGGGAGGGGGGTGACCTTGGTGACCTGACATCCTGTTTGCCCTCCAGGTGTCTTTACACAAGTGTTCCGCAGATCTTTGGTGTTTTCCGCACATTCTTATTAGTCAGAGTTTAGATCTTATCCTTTCTGTATGAGTTTCTTGGAACAGCTATGCCTCTACTCTGGACTGTGTACTCTTAACACAGTTTAACAATCTTGTGCAACTTGTAACAGCTGTTCTGGCAGTAACAGGTAGTTGGCAAAAAGTTATAAATTTCAAGGACCTGTTTTTTATGGCTTGAAATAACACCTGTATGTAGGATAGCGCAGGTTGACATTGGAGTTGTACAGATATTTCTAATGTCTACCTAGAACTAGGCTGGGTACCATCCGGATTTTCGCTACGCAACGCTCGAAAAAATCACATTTTTTTCGAGCGTTGCGTTTTTCGAGCGTTGCGTAGCGAAAATCCGGATGGTACCGAGGCTACATAGAACAGGGCTGTCTCCTGCTCTAAGTGTCTCTCTGTCCTCTCAATCAGGTTGAAGGAGCTTTGGCACAAATTATCTCAAAGCGCCAAAGGCGAGAAATCATAGGGTTAGGGGGAAAGCTCTCCAGGGAAATTTTAACATCCTGCTATTCCCCTGCATCTTCAGAATGGCTTTATTTGGATTTTGCAAAATTCTGTGACAATGAAACACTAGAGGCAAGTAGAAACAGGAAAACACCTGGCTCCTGGGATGCCGGGAATCAAACCCGCACTGAACCCGGCAGGCAGCTTATACGAAGCAACGTACAGACTGCTACTCCAAAAGGTCCAGGACCCATTGGAATGGGTCAGTTAGCGGTGCTTGAACCCCAGTTACACAACAATTTGATAATCAAAATGTCATGAAGTTAACATTAGTATTTACTCAAGGACTAAATGTAAGGAATGATTGGAATTTTGTGTGTCCCTAACATGGAAATTCCGTCCAGGGATTAAAAGATGGACACTCATGGAGAGAGCCCTGACCTTCACTCAAAGTTTGTGAGTTCAGGTTTCCCAGGAATGATGCTGGAATAGCAGAGTGTGTGTACCTCATCACCCTCCCAACAGGTGGGGGGAAACTCTCCTGACCTATTGCCCCACCCTGTGGCCTCCATAAGGCAAGCATTACATGACACAGTGCCCTTGTTACACTGAACAAATCCCTGCAACAACCGCATAGAAACATAGATTACTGTTAGTACAGTAACAGAAATGTGATGACAGTAGATTTAAGAGTGTGATGGAGTATTTTAGAACCTTACTTTCTTCCCCATATCCTTCTAACTTCAAGTATGAATGAATTTTATGAATGACAGGTACAGTAAGACTTGCACGTTAAAAAAAATTTCCTGATTATGTACAATGTGATACTGTAAATACGTGGTCAGCAATGGTCATCGAGTCATAGGACAGATGGCATTGAGCCTGCAATGTCCACAATTTAGCCAAACACACCTGGTCACTCCTACTCAGGACTGAAGAGTGAACGTACTGATGCTAAAGGACCACTGACGCAAGTCACATAGATTTAACACCCCTAACGTATTGTACTTAGCACTTCAGCAAAACACCAACACATCTCGTTTAACTTAAAGATCGTGTTCACATATTTGATGACAACTATAGACATTGTCTATAGTTTTGAAATGTTGTTTTGGACAATATAAGTTATATCAGGCAAAATTCAACGTTGACCAACGAAAACCGTGTACGAAAAAAGTATATTCTGTCGAGGTGCTTGATACAGCCTCCTACTGCCTCTGGTCCATTAGTACGAAAGACCAAAGGTACAACTTCAACAAGGCTTCATCGGGTCAGTTTTCACCGTTCAAAACCCATTTTCACCCTTCAAAACCCAATTTTCACCCTTCAAAACTCAATTTTTCATCGTTCAAAACTTAATTTTTCACCCTTCAAAACTCAAATTTTCACCCTTCAAAACCCAATTTTCACCCTTCAAAACTCAAATTTTCATCGTTCAAAACTTAATTTTTCACCCTTCAAAACTTACTTTTCACCGTTCAAAACCCAATTTTCACCCTTCAAAACTTAATTTTTCATCGTTCAAAATTTAATTTTT